TGTAAAGTTTCAAGTGTAAAATGTTGGTCTCACGGGTCTCACGAAAACAGGATGGTCTCACATGATCCCAAGTCTATATATATATATATATATATATATAGAGAGAGAGAGAGAGAGAGAGAGAGGGACTTCAAACAACTCAATTTTCATTTTAAACATAAGAACTGATATGATATCGGCACTCCATTTTATTTGATCCAACAACTCATATTAAATATATTTTTTTGATTAAAGTGATTAGGGGTAAAAAAGAAAAGAACACTCAGTTTCTATCAATTCCTACCTTTTGTGATTTTTTATTTTCTTTTTTAATTAAAACATTTTAACTCTTTAAAAGTTTAAAATAAATTATCTTAAAAATTACTAATATTTTAATCAAACAAATTAAATCAAAAAAATGAGGATTTCATGCTTTTCGATATGACATCAATCTCAATGTAGTTTTTTTATTTTATTTTAACCGTTTTTACGTGAAATGGTATATATGTGTTATATTCATTATGAATATCTATGTACGCTTAAGTGAGTACAACAATTCGACACCATAAGTTTGTAACACGACATCACCTTATTCAACACTTTCTTCAATGTCATAAGACACCACTTTCTTCATCACCATAATCCAGCACCCATCAAGACCGATCAAGAACCCATCAAGACCGACTGAGAACCCATCAAGACCGATTGAGAACCTATCGAGACTAATCGAGAACGGTCGAGAATCCATTCATTGACTTAGTATGTGTTAAACCATATAAATCTACGAGACGAATTGGAAACTCATCCAAATCAATCGAGAACCAAATAAAAATAAAAATAAAAACTAAAGTATATAAAGTTGAAACTGTAGTATAATCATGATGAATAATATGTGTATGCAAGATGAAATATTATGGCGAAAATTAATATTTATAATAAATATCATACTAATATAAATATTAGAGAGTATTGTATACACGTGATCATACATAAATTTTAACGATAAATAGTATGTATATTCATGATGAATGTTACACTAAAAATGTATATTCATGACGAATATCATACTGATGTATGAATATTGAAAAGTTGTTATATATACGCGAACATATATAAATACTTGTGGTGAATAGTATGTATATTCATGATGAATAGTATGTATCATATTGTATGAATAGTAAAGAGTTATTGTATACATGTGAAGGGGCCTAATCAAATGAAAACTAATTAGTTTGTGGTAACAGTGATGTCCAATCTCAACCACAAATCAATAGATAAATTAAGAAATTTATAATTTTGAATTAAAATTTTAATTCAAGGACATTTTAGGTATTTTAAAACTCTCATCTCTCCTCTATTCTCTCTCCGTCCCTCGGCCTCCGGCCACTGTCCTCTAGCTACCGTCTTCCAGTGATGCCACAGTGGTATGACAATGCATCTTATATGTGTTTAGGTGAGGTCGTTTGTGTGGTCAATCGGATATGTAACACAGTGGTATCACAATGCATCTTATATGTGCAGTGCTTGGGTATCACACTGTGTCTTTTGTTTAACATAATCAATATTTTTAGGTATCATCGGAGGACGGAGAGAGAAGAGAAAATACCTAAAATGCTCTTGTATTAAAATTTTAATTCAAAATTACCAAAATTATAAATTTTCTTAGTTTATCTATTGATTTGTGGTTGAGATTGGATCTCACAGTTATCACAAACTAATCAGTTCTTCTTATATATATACATATATATATATATAGGGCCGGCCTGGCCACGTGCAGCCCGTGCGGCCGCACAGGGCATCAAAACCTAAAGGGGCATCAATTTGTCATTTATTACTAGTTTTGAGTTTAATAATTTGAGAATTGGACAATTGAGCTTTAATTATAAAAACATACCCAAAGCCTAGTAGTGATGAATATTGAAGCCTAGTAGTGATGAATATTGAATGCACATTGTTGGAAAAAGTTGGAAAGTTGGAAAAGTTTTTGTTTGTATAAAGTTGTCTATATGAATTAATCTGTTTGTATAAGTTGGAAAAGTTTTTGTTTGAGAGAGTTTTTTCGCATATGTAAAGAGCTTTTTTTTAGTTCGAAATGACATGTTTGGAAAAAAAACTTGACTTTCTATATAAAGCTCCCCTAGAAGCTTACTAGATAAGTCACTTTCTATATCATTAAGCCACTACGAAACAGTCATGCATAGTTGAGCGAATAAGTTGTTAGTTTCATTAAACTTATTAAGCTACTAACAGATAAACCTTTAGCCTTTAGTCGTTAGACCTGTAACTTTTGAGTTTTACCTTTTGCTTACTATGACGCTAATTTGGATGTGATTTACTATTTTAGTTAAAAACTAATTATAGTTTTCCTTGTCTTTAAGGTCCCACATATTGAAATAAAGTTTCTATTTTGCTAATTTCAATTTGGAAAAGGAAAAACTGGAAAAAAAAGAAAGCATGATCTTAATCCAGAATTTATCCTTTTATATTTTGTATTCAGGGTTTTGATTGTTTCCCCTCCCATTGTATTTTTTTTATTATTAAAAAAATCAACATGAGAATGAGATACTTAGCTTGAATAAGTTCTAAACTCTTTAAAATCCCATGTTTCATTGTTTCATTGACTTAAAAAATAGACTTAGGGGCATTTTTTATTATTTTCGCACAGGGCATCAAAAATCTTAGGATCGGCCCTGTGTGTGTATATATATATATATATAGACACATATATATATATGTATATATATATATATTGATAATGAATGTCATATTAATATATAAATACTGAAGATTTGTTGAATACACGTAAAAATACATAATTGTTTCTATGTGACTCTTGTAGTGGACATAAACTTTTTACATATACATCATGCAAACCCAAAGTAAATAGTAATTGAAACTGAAACCCTATAAACCCATTATTACTTTTTATCAAGAAGATGGTCAATATCTATATAGTACTCAAAACTCTTATTCCTTATGGATAAGATCCCCACATTGAGGACTATATTCACTGGTGGGAGTACTTCAACAATAATGGGTTTCTGATTAATCATGAACAAAATAGTATTTCCCAACAAATTTTTAGCTTTCTTTTGAGTTTATGGTGTTTGGGAATTAATTAATATATGGTCCTAAATGATTCCGTGATGAACCTTTAGACCATCCACCTCGAAGTCAAAAAGTTCCTTATCGAATATTCTTTGATGGAGAAGTTCTCCGATCTACTAATATATGGTCCTAAATGATCCTTCTGATGAACGTAAACATGATAGATGTTATGGGATATATGAACTTCAAAGATATTATAGGACACCTTTATTCCAAAAAAAATGATACAACGTGTAACAACTAGTGACTAATTCATTTAAGTGATGTTTATCGAGGATGTACATCGGTAATTTGTGAAGTTTCAGTAGGCCAAACAGTGCATATACTGTCATCTGATTCCGCCATTTTTGACGTTACGTGTCTAACTCTATTCCTAGATACAAATGGAGGATTTTGAGGCAACGGTAAAGCAACCGAGTAACTGCTGAGCATGTGGAGTACAGATGCCATTGAAGGCCTTAATTCAGCATCTTCTTGAACACACAATAAGGCGATATTGATGCAACGCAAGACTTCGTTTTGTGAGGTAGAGTCCACCAAGCTCGGGTCAAGTATCCCGAATGGTTCTCCATCCTTCCATTTATTCCAAGCCTAGAAAAGAATATTTCGAAGTAAAGTAGGTTAGCAAATTGAATAAGATCATGTTTATTATATGACTCTAATGGGTATACTCACATGGTGTAGAAGGTCACCGTAACCAAATTGAAAGAGACTTGTGCTTCGTTTACCACTAATGATCTCGAGAACCAATACACCTAAACTGAATACATCTGACTTCACGGAAAAGCTGCCATGCATCGCATACTCTGGCGACATGTATCCACTTACAAGAAAAATACAATGTCAAAAGCTTAGAGATTTTTTTAATATAAATAGAGCATTTTTCATCAAGTATTACTAAATATAGTTTTAATTTTATTTGTGAAGTGATAGTTAGACAACTTACTAAGTTCCAACAATTCTATTTGTCATTGCTTGTGTTTGATTTCCAAAAATAATCCTTGCCATGCCAAAATCTGAAATTTTTGGATTCATGTCTTCGTCTAACAGTATATTGCTAGTTTTGAGATCCCGATGGATGATTCTTAATCTAGAATCCTCGTGTAGGTACAACATCCCTCTAGCAATTCCTCCGATTATGCGGTAACGTGTTGGCCAATCCAATTGCGCTTGTTTTGCGGGATCTACACACACACAAACACACACATATATATTAATCAAAGTGAGCTTCAAAACAGTTAGAATGGTAAAGCAAACTTTAATTAAACAATACTATATATTATTAGTTTGGAGGAAGCTTCCCTATAAAAGATAGCAAATGGATACAAGTTGCAGTATTCAAAACATCAAGGATGACTTACTAGACACGGGTCCCTGAGTCACTCAGTAGTTGCTTCTTAATTTTATGTGGAACTACTAATATGTCATATGATGGAGCCATTTAGCCAGACTCCTACTGGTCACGCCAAAAACAAAAAGATAATGGACATGTTATTTCTAAGTCGAGTCAAAGTCAATCAACTTCGTTAAATTAGTGGTCCTAAAGTTAGAATATAACAATTTCTGGATCCACTTTTTGATAAAATAGGAAAAAAAACGAAAGGTGTTGAATGCCCATGTGGTACTTAAACTTTCCATATTTGATGTTGAATGCATATTTACTGAAATAGTAAATATGCCTTCACAAAAGATCCCATTTTTATCAGTGGGCGACCTTTAACCGATTCAGATGATCAACTTAGCATTTGAAACTTGCGATTATGAGATCGAGACTCGTCGTGGTAATCGGGTGCAGTTTCTTTGGCCGCTAGGTTGCTTGTCAAGAAAACTATCTTAGTAAAATTTAAACTTCTAGACCAGGTTAGCCACAACAACTCTTGTATCGATCGCTAGTAGAATTTATATGGCAGAAGCTGAGGTATTGAGGCTAACCGAATAGAAAGAAGTCAAGACTGTGGTTAGGAACGTATTCGTAGATGAGGATCTTCTCTTCATCTTCGAGGCAAAATCCCAATAGTCTAACGAGATTTCTATGTTGAAGCTTGGCTAGTAATACAACTTCGTTCTTGAACTCCAGCGCACCTTGTCCCGAGCTTTTGGCTAGTCTCTTCACAGCTATTTGACTCCCATTTTGAAGAATCCCCTGCCGATCGATACATATACATATATATATATAACTAAATAAGATACTAATCCAATCATTTGGTTATATTTTAGAACATACTTTACACAAGAAAAGATTCGAGGAACTCCATTTCGTACCTTGTATACTCCACCAAACCCACCTTCACCTATTTTATTATGTAGAGAGAAATTGTCTGTAGCTGCTTGGATCGTGCCCAATTCAAACTGCAGAGACTGCTCTGTTATCATTTCGCTCTCACCTAAAGTAGATCGAAGAAAATCAAATTAACAAAAACTTCTGTGAAATTTTCATAACTAGTACTCTATATGTTTATCAACAGTGGCGGACCGATGATGTTTGTCATGTGAGTGCACCTTTAAGGAGGATCAGAGGCGGGCAAAGTCGTCTGATGTTCTTTTAGGTGAAATTCCACATTTTGAAGGGTTCGTTTTATAAGTTTTTTGGTCGATTTAGAGGGACTTCCTGGTTTCATGGTTGATATTGTCTTGTATTCTCTAATATTCTGGCATCATGTATGCTCTAGAGTTACTCGGCTCATCGATATAATAACAAAACTTGGGTAATTTTTTGCAAAGTACATGCTTCTGAATTGGGATAAACTATTTGAAAACAACCGATACTTTGACGAACGTAGATGCTACTCAAACTTGTTTTAAGTAACACTGTCAATGAATGTGTTTCAACATACCAGTTTCATCCTTGAAATCCTTGAATATGATCGGACGCGGTTTCTTCGTTATGAACCAGTAGCATATGCCAGCTATCACCACAAGCACACCAATTATAGCAACGATGGCTGCAATTATAGTTGATGAAATTTTCTTTTTCCCTGCATGTTAAAAGTACGATTTGTTTAGTTTTATCCCTTTTAATATTTGGTCTAAGACAAGTATCCCTCTTCTGGTTCGAGAAGTATCTTTGATATCATAGAACATATTATTAAAGAAACTCTAATGAGCAAGATGAAATTATAAAAAGGTGCATGAATTTGATGTCATACCATTTGTGTCTGGCGTGTTTGCTGCATATGTTAAGAACTTATAGATCTCAAATCTAACATTACAACTAGGGGTTAGCACGCGTGCTCCTTCTCTCCCGAAACAATAACGCCGCAGATTTCTTATACTATCTCGAAGGCATCGATCACAATCGGAGCTCGATAAATCTGGTGTGCACTGAACATATCCATAAATAGTCATATTACTACCATGGTAATTTTGCTCATCATGTGCAAGAAGCTTGGATTCTTGTTTTGAAGCCCGGGATGCTAATTGACCCATCAAAGTTGTACCAGCTTCCCAGAACCGACTTTGTTCCGCAACCATTTCAGAAATATCTATCTTGTTGCACTCTGAAATAAAAGAGTCGGAGTCCATAACCGAGACCATCGAATAGTTGGCATAGCGCAACATGCAGAGGTCGCTCCACCACACTGCCGCTACTGAGAATGGGCATGACACCTCAATATTAGCACGGGCTTTAAGCAAACAGTTACGACAGTCGTTCGGGAGTGCATCGTCCCGACAAAGGTAAAGCCCATAGGCTTTGTCTGGAGGTCTGTTTCCAGCACTCTTGTCTGAGAAATTCCTGATATCATCGACGGATTTATCTGAAAAAAGTGAGCCAAGAACTTGAATGACATTTGAATAGTAAGCGGTGCCGTTGATGTGGCTGGTGGTGTTGAGGCCACAGTAGTGTGTTTCGAAGTCAGCTGCAGTGGTTATCCATATCATAAAAGGGATCCAAATCAGACGAAGGGAAAGAAGCATACTTTCAGGAGCTGTGAAGGGCTGCTATGGGGCGTTTTGGTGATCTTGATTTTCATTTGGGAGTAAGCATAGGATATATAATAACGGGAAGAAGAATCATATAGACCAGAAAACACAAAGAAGTTGACTTGTAGAATAACTATATTTCTGCACTTGTTATAGAAAGTAGAAACCTCAACACCTTTTTCTTAAATTGTGGATTTGGTTTTTATATGGTTTTAGATTTTCATTGAATTGGTCCCCATAATTTATTTATTCCTAGATTGCCCTTAGGGTTTGTATTTTTGTAACAAATTGGTACCTCCCATTAACAACCGTTAACTCTATCCGTTAAGTGAAGGGCAACTTAGTCCTTTACCAACTTTGTTTATTTTCTAATTTAGAAAACTAAAAATCATATAACCGGAACTTGAATGACCACCGCCTTCATCTTCTCGAGCCAAACATTTTTTTTCCAATCATCTTCTCCAGCCACCGACCACCATAACATAGTAACGTACATATACCGAAAATTCAAAATCAAACTTAAATCCAAACCTCGAAATCAAAACCAATCAAAATCTATGCCCCATAAATTAAACCGACTGTTCGAACTTTAAAACCATGAATCAAACCCAAATCAGAACACAAGCCATTGTTCCATCTTCTTCTGCCATGAATAAAACCCATTTTTAGAAGCAAGAAACTTAACCTAAATGTTGAAAATTAAATTGAGTAAGATAGATGAAACAAATAAAGTTTAAATCTTTAACGGGAAAGTTAAAAATTTTAACATCAAAGATGATAACTTTTTATGTTCAGAACCCACAACACCTCAACAAACTGCCAATTCACATAGATTGAATCTATTTTTCGCGATAGATTCAATGAAAGAAAGGAATAGAAGCAAAGTTGTTCACTTAGTGAACAGAAATTAAATACAATGCACTAAATATAAAACCAACATGATTAAACTGTCGATGAATCGTAATCTGCACGGTAAAACTTGTCCTTTAAGGTTTTATACGACAACTATTTCTCGCTGTGAGTCTGCTAGTCGCAAAGCCCCAGAATTTGGTGCAGTATACGTTTTCGTTTATGAACAGCGATAAAAAAAAATAGAGCACGGTGGATGCAAAAATTGGTAGACAGACAAAGAATGTTCCAAAGCAGCGATCGTAGAAGGAAAAGAACTGATTTTTTGTGTGTTCTTAGAGTCGGCTACAACCCAATATATATACTGGGTGAAACCCTATAACCCCCACGAAATCCTCCCCATATATCGCATATTCAAGTGGAGGATTTTCCTCCAACAATCATTTTCTTTAAAACATGGTTAGATTAGTTTTAAAATTGATTTAAAAAAATCAGATATTTTCCTTCTCTCTCGACTTTGTACCAAAAAGATACTCGGAGCTCGGGGCGAGGCTCCTTCTGCTCCAATGCAGCGTGAGAAGTGCAAAGTGCGCCTCCTCGCGCCACTTTCGTGAATCCCGCACCCGCGCCCTCGGCCACGACCACTCGCGCGTGTGTGTGTTGGGCCTTCCACTCAAGACTCGACCACCATGTGTCCACCAACTTGTTCAAAGCCCAATTCTAGAGAAAGCATTATAAATTTCTATAGAAATTCTTTATCTACCAATGTGGGATGGAAGACAAACTTCCAACCCACTAAAATTTCCTTCAATCCTCCACCAGGTTGGAAAGTTTTCTGACATTCATAGTAGATAATATTACAGTGGTATCACTAGGATTAAACCCTGTTTAATGTAAGTATGCAAGAAGGGATCAATCCAATGGTATCCTTACGATTTAAACCTTGAATATTGTGACCACTCAGGCTTACTTACACACATCGTTTATCAACCTTGCTCTCTCATTGAGCGCAAATATGGTCATGTGGTCGGGTGATATCTCACACCTTTAGACTTAATGAAATTGGGCCACAAAGCAAGTATACAATACGGCCCAACGTCGTCTTTCCAAGTAATAAAGTGGTACAAGTACCGGATTATCGTTCACGGAGATTGTAGCCAAAGTTAAATGAGAGTCCAATGAAAGAGATGATTTCAGATGACGATTTTGAAGACTTTTGTTTGATTGTAAGGTGAATTAAAACAGAAGACAAAATACAAAAAAAAAACAAGGGTGTGAGACTTAAGGTGAGACACAAACACAAATTCTAGCAGCCAATGCTATAGGAATGCTATAGCAAGCAGTGTTTTGAAACTAAGTTCCACCATCTATTTTGAAGGCATTCCTCTCGGACTTCACCATTGCACTATATTATAGCTTTCCACCCATATCTCTATGTGGTGTCCGAACCAGGGATAGTGACACGATGGTGTTTTCAAAATATATGGATAAACAAATCTYTTTGTTAAAAATCACTCTCTCGAGTCGATTCCCATATCATTCGAGTTGGCGTGTTCTTGATAGTTCATCTCTGAATCTATCACACTTTGACACTTTTTAAGAGTGACCAACCCGTCGGGATTTAAGTTTTGAAAAACATAAATGACAAGTCTCCTTGTCGGCAACTTTCTCAAGTCTACCTCTTATGTCATTCAAGTTGACGTGCTTATTAATGGCTTATCTCTAAGTTCATCACACTTTAACACTTTCGAAGTGATCAACCCGTCAAGAAGTGTGCTTGAATTTTATAAAAACTCGAATGAAACAATGGAACGTTGTTTACGAAAACACTTAGCTACTTTTGTTTGGTTTTGAAAATCTCACATTTCCGTCTCACACCCAAGCTATAAAAGCTTAGCTACTCATAACGGAAAGTAAATTAAATGACGGAAATTAAAGACATAAACGTAAATTACGTAAAGTAAATAGCGAGAAAATAAATGACAGGAATGTAAATGACGAGAAAATAAATGACGGAAATGTAAATGACGAGAATATAAATTGCGGAAATTAAATAACGAAAAGTAAATAACAATAAACGTAAAAGAACATAAGATAAATAACAAGAAATTAAAAGACAAGAATTTAAAGGATGAAAGCTTTTAAAACTCAAGAACTTGGAATTTCTCAAAAGGGTCTCTCAAAATCAGCCTTAACCAGCTGATTTTGATCTTGAAAATATGTTAGAAGGTGTGTCTAAAACACAAGGCTATGCCCCCTATTTATACACAAAGGTTGGCACTACACAACAAAAGATTTACCCAAAGGTTAATACCCAAAAGTCAACCAAAGAGCTTCTAAAGTACAAGAGTACATATAAAGTCAAAAATCTCATATTTTAAAAAGTCTTCCAGCCATTTTCAGCTGTCTTCCAGTAAGCATCCAAAAGGCAGTGGCTTAATCGTTAAGCTCCTCGTAAAGCCAAGCACGTATCAGGTGGTTGCTACTGCAATGCTGTAGCATCAGGCTGTTTTAGTAAAAATTCACCGTTAGCTTGTATCTTTACATCCCAACAAGTTAACCACAATATTTTAGCTCCATAATAAAGCTATAAAGAAATTAATCAAAATGACTCAAAGTGGGAATGAAAGGAAACTAATTTTAACTAATAAGACGTAAACCGAGTGCATTATATGTTGAATTCTCAACACATATCATCATGCGCTAAACCCTGTTTCATAACTTACTAGTAGAGAAACCACTACTCTTCGTTTGAGGCGACACCACCTCTAAGTCATATAGGCAAAGTTCTATAACATCTTCGTTGTTAAGATGCCTCTAAACTTTGTTAAGAGGTGACTCATCTTTGTTCTCGACAACGCGGTACTATCTTTCACCTTACATGGATCTATCATTTGATAGTACATTCTATCAGTTAAGTGACTTGTTGTAACCTTTTAAACTTGGTAGATAGAAGCACTATATCCAAATCACTAACTAATTCTACATGGTTTCAGACCCATGTCTCTGGTTGTTGACCCTACCAAGTCTTTCGTCAGAGGCTTGGTTAGTTGTCTCACGTAATTGTGTCGGAGACCTATGTGTCGCGACTTCCCATTATATATGGCATTTTATACTTTTGACAGTGTGGCCTCACTATCACAATACAAGGGAATCGAAGGAGTCGGTCGAGGCCATAAATGGATATCAATCAACAAATCTCTAATTCACTCGGCCTCTTTTCCCGCTGTCGCTAGGGTAATGCACTCGGCTTCCATAGTCGAATGGGCGATAAACGTTTGTTTCTTGCTCGCCCAAGAAATCGCCCCTCCAACAAGAGTATAAATCCACCCATTTGTGGATTTAGAATCACTTGAGTGCTATATCCAACTGGCATCGAAATATCCCTCCAAGATTCCCGGATGTGTAGAGTATGTCAACTCTAGTTATTGGGTTCTTTTCAAGTAGCCCAATACCCTGCCAATTACTTTCCAATGATCTGAACTCGGATTGCTGGTATATTGACTCAGTCTACTCACAGCAAAAGCAATGTCCGGTCTAGTGCAATGCATTGCATATATCATGCACCTATTGCACTAGCATATTCTAGTTGGGCCACTGCTCTACCAATATTTTTATCGAGTTTCACACTTGAATCAAACGGAGTGTTAAACTCCTTTATATTCAGATGTTGAAACTTGGTCAGTATCTTCTCTATGTAGTGAGATTGACATAGAGAGATTTGAGATGCTGACCTTTTGATATACTTCTCCAAGATCTTTCATCTTAAAGTTCGAGGATAAGTACCCTTTTGTCTCAAGAGTATCATCTAGATTGGTTCCGATGATCAATATATCATCAACATAAAGACAAATTACCACAGTATACCCTTTCATGCATTTTGAGTAGATGCACCGATCGACCCCATAATGTCGGAACCCGAAAGATGTGATAGTCGTATCAAATCTTTCATGCCACTATTTAGGAGCTTGTTTTAACCCATATAGAGATTTAATAAGTTTACACACTTTATTCTCTTGTCTAGGTACTACAAAACCTTCAAGTTGCTCCATGTAAACCTCCTCGTTTAAATAGCCATTCAAGAAAGCTGTTTTCACGTCCATTTTGTGAATAAGTAGTCATTTTATGGCGGAAATTGCTATAAGAGTTCAAATGGAACTAATGCTAGCAATTGGAGCATAGGTGTCAAAATAATCAACTCCCTCTTTCTGTCTATATCCTTTTGCCACCAATCTGGCCTTGAAGGACGATATTGAAC